TAGTCGAGGCGGAAACATACCAATATTACAAATTGTTTCCTTCTCCAACTCCCAAAAACAATTCCTTTCTAGTCAATATACCCTTTAAACCATACCTCAGTGAGAAAAAGTACTCATTTGATAACGAAAAATGTCCAGAATTACAAACTAATGAATTTCTTTGCAAAATAACAATCAGCCAGACGATAGGAAATGATCCACCCTGCAGTGTCCAACTTATAAAGTTCCAGTCAAACGTCACAACTTGTCATCCATTCAAAGTTAAAATTGAAGAAACCCAATCGACCAAAGTAGCCGATGGAAAATGGTTAATCACAGCACCCGAAGAAGTAATTGGCAAATCAAACTGCCAAGACCGTCAAGACACCATTCCAATCAAAGGAACATACCTAATCGATTTACCACCTGGTTGCACCACTCAATTCAAATCACTAATATTTGAAAATTTTGAGTTAAAGCAACTACATGTTCAAGAAGTCAACCTACCTAATTTGACTTGGACCACTACTAGAACACTTCAAGCAGTATTTAATTCAAAATAAAAATTGTTTTAAAAACTCCCTTTCCAAGGAAGTGATTTGAACTGGCATCATGTTTTTGCATGAAACCGAACTGCTCCCGAGGGATCGTTTGGTTTTGGGAGAGCAGATCGTTAAGGCGTTCAAGGAACAGTCGTTCGGTGAGTTTTGAGAGAGTAGAGAGGAGGCTGATCGGTCTCCAGTTTTGGGGAAACGTTTTGTTTTTAGTAGGTTTGGGGATTGGTATGATAGAGGCGGTTTTCCAGGATGTAGGAAATTCTCTGAGGGAGAAAGAGGCGTTTATTAAAGTTAGGATTTGGTTTAGGAGACTTTCTGGAAGATGTTTTAGGATTTTGTTTGTAATTTGGTCTGGTCCGGGAGCTTTGCGGGTTTTGAGGGAGGATATTTGTGTTTTCAGTTCGGTCAGTGTTGCGGGTGGAATTTGGGGGCAGTCGGGGGGAATTTGTCTATGTTTGATTTCTCCGAGGTTGTGTTTATCTTCCTCTTCGAAATCAGGGTCGTTTGTCTGGAACATGTTGGGAGAAAACTGGTGTTCTAGGGAGTCGGAGAAGACTTCCGCTTTCTCCTTGTCCGTATAGACCAGTCGTCTCTCTCCATGTATTGGGGGAAGTGTGATTTTGTTTTACCTCTCAAACTCTTGACGATTTTCCAGGCGACGTTGTCGCCTGTTGGGATGTTTTCCAATACCTCGGACCACTTCGTTTTTAATGTTTTTTATTTGAATCTGTATTTGTTTAGTGAGGTGGTTTGCTTCTTGGTTGAGAATAGCATCAGAGAATTGCTTGGCCCTGCGTTTTAGTTTGTTTCTGTTTTTAATAAGTTGTTTAAGTTCTGGCGGAAGGCCGAACGGGTTTTTATTTGAGTTTAGTTTTTGGCTTTTGGCTTTTGCAAGGGCTGCAGAGATATAATTTGAGATTTTCTCTGAAAGAGAGTTAAGCTCCTTTGCGTTTTTGGGAGAGTGGTCCTGAGTTTGAATCTCGGTTTTTCGTGCTGGGAGGCTTTGGGCGGCGGCTGTTTTGGGGGCTTCAGATCTTTGGGCCGCTTTGGCTGCGAAGGAAATTCCAGACGAGACCTTGTCTTGGACCTGTTTGGCTTTTTCCTGCTTTTGAGCAGTGGAGTTTGGGTTTTTTTGGGCAAGAAAAGTAGCTTGCCGGGTGGGGGCCGTCGCAGTTAATGCATTTAGCCGGGATGTCTCTCGGCTTTTTGCATTCCGCGTAGAAATGACTTTGGGCGCATTTGTGGCAAACGGGTTTTGCTCCACAGTTGGCCATGGTGTGTCCGAACTTTTGGCATTTTTTGCACTGAGGAATGTGCCTTAGGTTGCTGACCGAGGAGTGTCTTTGGGGCTCAATGACTACCGCCAAGTTTAGGAGGTACTTAACCTCGAAAATTTTTGTTTGCTCTTTGGGTAAAAGCATTTTAACCATGTTCGTTTTGGTTTTTAAATTTCCCATGCTGAAGAATTGGATTTGGGATGGGTTGAAACCGAGCTCTTCGATTTCAGTTTGGATTTCGGCAAGTGACATATCCTGAAGGGGGCCCTTGACGATGGCAATGAGTTTTTTGTCCTCTGGCAGAGTATGAGTATGAAACTCAATTTTCTCCTTCGAGAGAAGTTTGGTGATGGCTCTATGATCATCAATTGATTGGGGTTGGATTTTGATCCCTAAGTGGACTTTTTTAGGATTTCCTAATTGACAGTTGTGCTGTAGCAAGAGCGAGCGGTTTTGTCCACTCGGACACATTCCTGATGACGACAGGAATGGCTTGCTTTTTTGGGGCAGAGGTGGGGGGAGAAGCTTGGTCCAAAGTGGCACTGGAAGAGGCCTGGCTTTGGGGGGCAGCGGCTTTTTGCACCATATGATGGTGTAGAACGGCGTTGGATGTTTTGGGGAGATTTAAAGGGGCTTTTGGTTTTAGGACTGGGAAGTCCTCGACTTCCATTTGCTCAGCTTCAGCTGAAGGCTTTGCTGGGGCTTGTTGGGCGGGGAGTTCTTGGGCTTCTAGGAGTTGTAGTTTTTGGAAGAGCTCCTTAATTTGGGCTCCTTGTGCCACGATGATTTCGGCTTGTGTGTGCTCTTTTTGACAAAGCGCTTTAAGCTCAGAGAGGATGGCTTGGTTGTGTTTGGTTTTGGTGTTGAATTTGGGGGTTTTGGGGATGCGGGGGAATGTTGGCTGGGAACCGTTGTCACTGCTCATGACCGCACTTTGATCGCTGACGCTAGAATATAACATTTTTTTCCGCGTGTGAGGACACATGCGGTCTGCTGAGGGATTTTGAGAAACACTTGAGGAGTTTCGCGCACGCTGTTTGGTGAAACTAATAATTTTTGCAATTGGTGAATAACTTCACGCACTGGCACGAAGTCACTGTAATTGTTGCTGCTGTTGTTTTGGGTGCTGATGATGAGCTGATGCGTTAAGCACTAGCATAGGAATGAATGAATGAATGAATGAATGAATGGTAATGACTGACTCCCCATGGTTCTCGTCGCCGCTTATATAGTTTTCTCCAGGTAACCCAGACGGTTCTCGAAATCTCCAGACCAGGTGCGAAATTTCTCGCTCGTCAGTGTCCTATTTGACAGTAAATGGGGCGCAAATGGGGCTCCCATTTACTGAAATACCATGAATTTCGATCCCTCCATTTCAAATGTGAGTACCCCAGGCCATTTTCGTTACAATACATAGTTATAGTTAATAAGTTAAATTTACGTAAATTTTTAAAGTAAAAAAATTAAAAGTACCTAACCATATAGAATGCAGAATTTAATATAAGTTTATGTTACATTATGGAAGTATGTACTTGTAATAGTTCAAAATTCCTTAATATATTTAATATTGTAATTGTGTTTTGTTTTTATTTAGCCTTTCCCCGCCACCTGTTTTTAAACTAATTAGCTTTTAAATTCAATGGTCTTCAATTAAATTAGATGCTAAATAATTAAATATTAATTAAATTTAAGAATCTGTATAATCTCGTCAAGCTTCATTAATTTACTACACAACAGATTACAACAGATTAACCTATGTTGATTCCATTTTTTTTCGAATATATTATCAGTGTATACAATATTTTCCATATTTTATCATTTTTTTTTGGTTTGCCCGGCGGCTGGAGGAATAAAAATCTTTGCAAAGACAGCCAGTGTTCCGAACCCTGGGTAGTGTTGGATTCTTACCAACTAAAAAAACCCCTTTTTTGTACTACGAGTTTTCCGGAGTTATCCTTTAAAACTTGTAGTCCTCTCTAAGAATTTGTCAGCTCCGGCATCCGTATGCCATAATATCGCATTCTCTCCATGCTAGCATGGGCATCTTATTAATTTACACCTTACTTCTATGTGCATGCTAATTGCTACCACAGATTACAGAGTGCCGCTGTGATCTGTGATTACTACTAACTCTACATAACCACACTTACAGCTTACGCCGTTTGCTACCTGTTGCCCTATTGGGCTAGTTGGTGTCTGGGCCTTTTTTTCCTGGGTCCCAGATCTTCAGGTGTGTAATTTACAAGATTTCGTAGCTCTTCGTTGGAGTGCCTTCCAGCTTTCTCGAAGTCTTCAGCCGCTTTCCTTGTGAGAAACTCTCTTAGTGGCTCCCACTCCAGGTCCCAGTAGATTTGGGAGTTTCTAACAAACCAGGGCGCATCTATGGCCATCCGCAGAAGTTTGTTTTCTGTGGCCTGAAGTCTATTCAAGTGACACTCGGCCGCATATCCCCACGAAGTGGACGCATACGCCAGTGTCGGCCTGATTATGGTCTTGATGAGGAGTAGCTTGTTCCTGATACTCATCTGGCTTCTTCGATTGAGGAGTGGGTATAGCATAAAGAGTGCCAGGGTCGTATTGGCAGGTCTTGGGATGTCGTTGTGCATATTTTATCATATTCTAATGCCCTACGCCACTGCCAAAGCGGCCATATGTAACCTCCATTCCGGTCGCACTGATTTCAGCGTATACTCCTTCCTCCTCTGTTAGTTTTATATTCAAAGGTTGGGTGAGATGAGGGCTTGTTCACTCTCGTGTAATGACAGTTCTGTGTTAATATAGTTTACTCAGACCATGAGCGCGCTGTTATCGCGCCTCTCAGCTGATCGAAGAAGTTTATTTCAGGCTTGCCAGGTCTACCGTTTCTACGGTGGGTCTCCCGTTTTCATGAGAGCTACTGCTCTACCGCTAAGCCATAAGAACCTACTGCTAAACGTTACGTTAAACACTTTAAATATAAC